CCCCAAAACCCCAAAACCCCAAAACCCCAAAACCCCAATTGAGCAATCTCAAGTTGAACTCAAAATTAAGATTTACTCTTCTTTCTCAGCAAGCTCAAAACGGTCTGAGTGGCAAATCCAGTGCAATACTTGGGCATTGGAGGGATGGCTGAGTCAAGATAAGTAGGTCCAGCAATATCTGCATGAATCCATTTTGTGCCTTCACCAACAAAATGCTCCATAAAAGCAGCAGCTCTTGAAGAGTGCCCCTTTCTGTCATCACCCATATTTCTCAAATCAGAGACATCATTAAGTATGTCTTCCTTATGGTCATCAAAGATTGGCATGTGCCAAGCTTGCTCATTGACTTCTTTTCCAGCTTGGATAAACTCTTCTACGAACTCATCATCATTGGTAAAGACTCCACAGGCATTGGAACCAAGTGCTGTGATGATGGTTCCTGTAAGAGTAGCAAGATCCACACAATAAGTTGGCTTGTAGGTCTCATAGACATGCCAGAGAACATCAGCTAGGACAAGCCTTCCCTCAGCATCAGTATTCATAATCTCAACGGTGAGTCCCTTCTTAGAAGTGATGATATCAGATGGTCTATAAGACTCAGCATCGACTGAATTCTCTGTGATTCCAAATGCGAACACTACATTGATTTTCAGGTCAAGTTCAATGATTCCTTTCAGAGCTGCAAGAGTGACGCATGCTCCCCCTTTATCTGAGAAGTTATCCTCCATGACTCCTATAAATTGCTATTTTAGGGATAATCCTGTAATTAGTGCCAGATTTCCTAATTCTAAGTGAAAATCCAAAGAAATTTACTACAGACAAAATAGCAGGGATAGAATCCTCTTATGGATATTTACCTGTAGCTTTGATGTTGAGGCCTCCTGTATCGAAAACAACCCCCTTTCCTAAATGGTTACTTCTGGGACTAACCAACTATGGCAATATGGACTTCGTCTTCATCAGGATTTCCTTTGTATAGGCAGGTGATACACCTTGGAGGAATTGTAGATCCCTTCCCAACATTATATAGCAGATTGAAGTTTTGCTCCTAAAAATCAGGGGGATTATTACAAGAAGTTCTTTATCCTTGATCACTGTGCACTCGGTAACTTTATCACATCCTTCAATGGTAGCCTAGGGGTTAAGTGAATGAATACCTTGATGAGATCTTCCATGTATTGGCAGGTTGCAATATTAGCTCTGGTATTCTGGACATCTCTAGCAAAGAGACAACTTTTGACCATCACAATCAAGCATTCTACCTCTCTCTTAAGATTTTCAGTGAGCTCTTCTTCAAAGGCAAGGTTGATCTCAGTAAGCAAGGAAATTCCTCCAATTGTCTTCAACTCGAACCTGTAGTTCCACATCATGAAAGATTGAATAAAGGTATGAGAAAGTTTAAAATCGCTCTTTTGAGGGATATAGATAGTAACTTCAGATATCTTTCTTTCCCTGAGTGTTTCAATAGCCTGCACACCAAGAGCTCTAACTTCTAGCACAGTCTCTTTCTTATAATGAACGAGCAGGACTCTTGTTTTATCGCAATAAGTCCATGCAAAGCCCCCATTTTTGAGATCTTCCTTAATCATTTCATGATGATCAAAAGATTCAGCTATAAATCAGATATCTGCTTTACCAAGATGTAGAGAATCTTTGTTGATGAGCATGACTACTGTCTTCTCTGCTGCAAGCACATCGCTCAAAGTTTTCCCTCCGTTAGTCTTAACTAGAAAATCTTTTGACTTCACAAACTGGGTATTTTCTCTAAAAATTACTTATGCTACCGTACTCAGCCTTGGATTCCATTTTCAATAAATATTTAATGGTTGGGGTTTTGGGGTTTTGGGGTTTTGGGGTTTTGGGG